TTTCTGTTCTGAATATTTTTATTTTTCTTTCCAATTAGAAATTATGAACTTAGTATGTGAGTGGTTTTTTCTTCAATAGAGTTAAGGAGCAGTGTTTTCCCTTAGTGTAAATGAGGGCAACCTATTCCATATCATGCCAGTAGAAAACCTTGGTGAGTGATGGGGAGGCAGTGACTCCACCACTCCTTCACGGAATCCCAGCTGTTTGCCATCTGCTTTCCTTAAGTTGGACGACACTTGTGTGAGCAGATTCACCAACATGGCTCAGGATTTCTTCCAGGTCCAGGCTGCAGCTTTGGCCAGTCATGGTGTAATGTATGCTTTTAATTGATTAGCTTTATCTCCATAAAATTCTCATCAATTATTTCTCCAATTATTTAATTGATTAGCTTTATCTCCATAAAATTCTCATTATAAATGCAGAATGATTTTTTATAAATAATCACAAACTACATCTTCTTACCCATATTTAGTGTTTTGATTTACATAAATATCTCTTTTCATATATATCTAGAAAGTACACAGACATTTATAAAATGATTTCTTTAACTAGATTTTGAGTATCAGTGTCTCCTTACATAGTCTTTCCTAATAGAATGTTAACTCTGTTTTCAGTTTTCTGTTTGTTTCTTCCCCTGTTCGTTGGATTTGGTGTTAGACATTATGGTCCTTATTTTCCTCCTACTGCCAACTCTACTCACCTGTGAAGTGTCTGTCATCGTGAATGTGATTATTAGCTTGGATACCAAATGACCTTGTTTTCACATTTTCTGTTTGAAATGAAAGGGAAGAAAAGATTAAAAATTCAATTTTACCAGTGCATGAAACACATGTATAGACAATCCAAATTTCCAAGACTCTGCAAGTTACCTTCCACCCCCATGGATGAAAATATCACATTTCAAAAAGCTTAGAGTCCTGCAATATTTAAAATGCTTGCACACAGCATCTAACAGAAACTTTTTCTATTTTTCAAATGCCCTCCTATTTTTTCAAAATGGCTTTGATTCTTGTCTCCCTTATTTAAGGTCCACAGGTATGAATTTTCGAGCTCATACATATAAGTTGGTACCTATTATTTGATCATACAATTTATCTTACAGATTCCCCACAAAAAGGAACACTTCCTATATTTTGACTTCATTTCCTGTAAAATAATATACTTAATATATGAGATGGACAGATTTCAAAATGATTAAAATATACTGTTCTTTTCTTTCTTACTTTTTAAATTGTTGATAGACCTTTATTTTATGTATTTATGTGCAGTTCTGAGAATAGAACCCAGTGCCTCACACATGCTAGGCAGGTGCTCTACCACTGAGCCACAGTAAATTCATTTTTTAAATTTTTAAATGAGAAATAATATGTGTCTCTTAGTTTTGCATTTTTGATTGCCTTACCTGGGGTTTATATTTTGAAAAAAAGTTGTTTATTTTAGCAAAGAAATCTAACCCACTTATTGATATTACTTTATCTTCTCAAATATCACACACATTTTGCTTTTCTCATTTTTTCCTCTATATGCCTGAACTCACCCACAATCTCACTTTAGTTCCTCTCCACTGGTTCAACACAGAATTCTTTCTTCCATTCATTAAACATACATACAAAAGTTTCCAGGCCCACAGTATAGCCTCCTTCTCTATCTAATTGCTGTATTTTCCATAGGCTTTATAGACAGATGTGATTATGTTCTGAATACTTGAATTATTATTTTTAAGATGGTCTTTTGCCTTTAAGAATTATCCCTTGGCTGGGCATGGTTGGGCAAGCTTGTAATGGCAGTGACTTGAAAGGCTGAGACAGGATGATGGCTAGTTCAAGGCCAGCCTCAGCAAGTTAGGGAGACCCTAAGAAACTTAGCACGACCCTGTCTAAAAATATAAAAGAAAAAAAGGGTTGGGGACGTAATCCAGTGCAATAGTACCCTTGGGTTCAATACTCAGTCCAGAAAACCCCAAG